AGGATAGAAAAAAAAGAATACTGAATGTAAAATCATAGATTTCATTGTAACAGCTTTTTTGAAAACACAGATTTTTCAGTGGAGTAACATAACTTGATGTTATCCATGTGCATCAATGTGCCTGTAAGATAGTATGTGCTTACTAAATGCTTGTGGATTGATTGATGGAGTGATTACTATAGTGTTTTCATATGACTTCATGTTTGCCTTGAAAGTCATATTCCATTCTATTTAGGAGACATCATTGAAGAGCCAATAGGATGTTGGACTTGGATTCAGGAAAACCTCAGTTCAAATACTGCTTCAGACAATTACCTGCAGTGTCACTCTGGGCAAGTCATTTAATATTTCTGTGACTTTGTTTCCTCATCTGCAAAATGAAGTGATTACACCTAATGGCCTCTAATGTTCTTTCAATTCTTAAAACTATTATGCTGTGAATTGCTAGGCAAAAATTATTATGACTTAAGCTGTCTCTCTGGAAAATGCCAAATTTCATATCAATCCTTCTTGAAATTATGTTAGTGACATGTTTTAAATAGCAAATAGATTTCATATGGAATATCAATTTATTCTCACTATGCTTTGATCTGCTTTATAGTAGATGACTAAGCCACGAATCTAGAAATGAATCAAACACTTTGACAAAATCAATAAAGATAGAATCAATACCATGGCTCTTTTGGTGGCTTGTTTAATAATCATTGAATGAATAATAAGTTCTGTATATACTGTGGATTTTTTCGCACATCTTTTTTCTTCATCAATCCACATATTGTTTTCTTTTCATATTTGTAAATTTTCTAGTAATAAAATAGTGAATGTATAAAGTAGATAAATATTTAATTTGCCTGCCATTGAAGGGGTCACTGGAATTCTTGTCATTTAGTAATAAATATGTGATGGTATCAAGAAAGATGGAATCAGGTTCACACTAAAGAGGAAGCTGATAATGTGATTAGTTATAATTTATGCTTCACCATGAAGCATATAAATCAATCATCTTGGGTTTAATGAAGGCCAGTCCTTTTTTTAAGTTTTTTTTTTTTCCAGAGAAGTTAGAGTCTCAGCCACTTCCTTCGATATTGCTGTTTAGTCATTCGTTAGATGAATGAACAGAACGTGAGTTTTCTGTTTCTTATTTGATCCAACTTACATTTTCATAGCAATGGACTTCTTCAGACCACACAAATGATTTGAAATTTTCTATATCCTCCATCTTTGGGGGCTCTCTTTCTGTTTTAATTTCTTTGCTTCTTAAGCCTTTGTAGCAGAGTTTTTGATTGGCATTAAATTATTATATTGTCTTAACTTTTGATTTTTGCTTTTAATTGCTAATCAACAATTAAGGATATTAAGACTATATGATATAAAATGTTTATAGCAGCTCTTTTTGTGGTGGCTAAGAATTAGAAATTGAGGGAATGCCCATCAATTGGGGAATGGCTGAACAAGTTGTAGTATATGAATGTAATGGAATATTATTGTGCTATAAGAAATGACGAGCAAGCAGACTTCAGTAAAACCTGGAAAGACTCACATGAACGAAGCAAAATGAAATGAGCAGAACCTGGAGAACATGGTACACAGTAACATAGATATTATATGATGAAGAACTGTGAATGACTTAGCTATTCTCAGCAATGCAATGATCCAAGACAATCCCAAAGGACTCATGATGAAGCATGCTATCCACCTCTAGAGAAAGAACTGATATTTCTGGATTTCTCTTCTTCTTTCTTTGTTTCTTTTTTTAATTTCTTTCTCCCTTCTTTGCTTTCTTTCTTTCTTTCTTTCTTTCTTTCTTTCTTTCTTTCTTTCTT